AACATTTAAAACAGATGAAAGCACACACAGTGTAAATATAAATGTAATAAAGAACAAATCAAATCAATCATGCACTATATGATAAAACAAATTAAGATTCCTGATTAAAAAAAATATTGGTAGGCTTTTATCAATGAGAATGTTTAAAAATAAGAAAAAGTACATAATGTAATTGAAATATTACATGCTAGTTTATTTTTTTTGTCATTAATTTTTTTTTCATTATTTTTGCTTTTATGATCATACAATTACAGACAAACGACTTTCAAAAAACAAAAATACATATCGGCAGCAACACAGAACATGACAGCACTCAGCAATTATCCATTCCAAAACATATTAATGTACATACATATACACGCAGTATACAACACATCCAACATCCCTTAAGAATAGATTCCAACACTGTAGTCAAAATACAGCCATGCTTGGCTAACTTTACTCGGCTCCTTCTGCACCCTGGACATCATGACTTCAAAAGCTGCTGTCTCCCACATAAGTTGAAGCCATTACTTAATTTCCAGTCTATATGGGCTCTGTCATTTTCGAAAAATAATTCTAGCAGCTATCAGAAAACCTGTCATCAATGACTTTTCTCCTAAGAGGCAGAATTGCGCAGACTCTGGTAAAAGTTGACTGAGCCAGTCCTCAAATTTTTTTCAAAACTGCCTTCCAAAAGGGCATTATCAAGGGGCGATCCCATAGTGCATTGGAGAGGTGTACCCACCTCTTTATTACACTTCCAACATTTGTTATCCTTTATTAGACCCATTCGTTATAGCTTATTTGATGTAAAATAATAACTATGTATAATTTTGTAGTGAATACATTTATTTCTTGCATCCCTTGCAGCCCCTCCCACATTTGAAATAATATTTTCCCACACAGCTTCTTCAATTTCCGTATCAAGATCTTTCTGCCAGATTATTTTTACATTTTCACACATTTTGTTCTGGATTCTTGACATTTTGTTATAGAAGACATAGGGAGGGTCTACGTGTGAAATAGGCAGAGCATTAAAAAACTCCTGCATCACATTATCTTCTTCATTCTCTCTTCTCAAACAAAA